GAAAAAGAGCATCAATCTAGGCTTTAGGCCTACGTGATCTTTAGGCCTTATTCCTTTAGGCCTTATTCAACACTTCCCTCCTTTGCGGCTGTGAGGCCGCACATTCAATCACCTACACTGTAATGCACAGATAAATGGGACCTACTATCCCGTGATTACTGGTTCAACACGTAGATAGCACACTAATGAGCTGAATACGTGGATCCTCCAACTTGACTTGTGTTGTGCAGCATTTTGGCAATGTACTAAGTGAAGTAGTGCTTTTGAATCATGGGGTGTCACTGAAACTTAAGTTTCAAGGCCATGTTAAGTGTGGATTAGGTGACAATAAAAGTACCACCCATGATCTTTGGTTCAACACATGTCTGCATCCGGATCCAAGAAGCACTTGTATCTTAATATGAAAATAAGAAAATGTAAATAAATATGTCCTTGTTCTGGTCAAGGGGAATCATTGACATTAGGTGCCTACCGCCCGAGACTCAGCGGTTCAACATGTGTACATGTGTGCACAAGGATCCAGGACCTTATATAAACATGTGTACTAGTTACTTTGGCGTGTGCTGTTTTTTGGCTATCATAAGTTTAAGCAAGCTCAAAACTTCTGTGCATGAAATGATTATGTGCGTGAGCTGTTTTTTTGCTATAATATGTTGTGCAAGCATAAATCGACTACATATAACAAACAAATATATAAAAACTTCCAGTGATGAGACTAAAATGTCCATCCCTAGAGGAACAGTTACTTCATTTGGACGATGTACATCGCTGTTTCCAGTTGCTCACAGCGTTTCTCCAGTTGCTCACAGCGTGTCTGCAGTTGTTCACAGCGGGTTTGTAGGGTGTTACAACATTCTCTCAAGAGTTGAAGGTCGTGTTGCTTGGCGGGTGCTCTGCGAAGTTGTCCCGTCTGCTGACGGAGTCTTGTTGCTATGCGGCCCAAAGCTCGGCGTCTGTTTTCCTGCGGGCGGCGATTTGAGCAGGCTGCATCTCACTCAGGAGTTGGTTGAACTCTTGCAGGGCATCTTACCCCAATAATCAGGATCCCCATCAGTGGTGGCTGGGGAAACGTTCCCTGGAGTGGAATCATCTGGTGCTTGTGGTGTTGGAGATGCAGAATCATTAGGTGTGTGGTGTTGTAGATGTAGAATCATCAGGTGCTTGTTGTGTTGTAGATGTGGAATCATCAGGTGTTTGTTGGGTTGTAGATGTGGCAAGGGAATAGGCCAGGATTCGTGCACTTCGTCTAAGGGGTCGTATCTCCTCCGGGAAGTTGTGTTGCTCATCGCGTGGTGCGTCGTCATCGCTGGCTGTTGAGGAGAATGAACTGTGGGAGATTCCCATGGCAGTGGCATTGGAGCCTGTGGTCTTGGATCCGGCGTGGTTGGACTATATTGATGTATGGAGTCCGTAGAATATCCATCAGTGAAGCTCATGTCTGAGGTGTGTGGGGAGGTTGAGCGTGGACGTACACGTCAGTAGAGGCGTGAGGCCCTTGTTGCTCTGTGATCCCCATTGCAGCTTGTCCTGCTGCCAGGTCGGCTAGTGGTACCAATGGATTGTATGGATCCGCAACTTGACTTGGTGCATCTTCCCCCTCTCTGTCTCGGCATCTAAACTTCACGAAACGCTGTAGACTGGGTAGAGAACGTGGTATTGCATGCCAATCAGGGGGTGGAGTTTCTTGTGCATCAAGGAGCTGAAGTGAGCCCTCTGAGGTCATAAAGAGATTCTGAGGAGCTTCCTGCTGTGTAAGCCATTCTCTGACATGACGACATGGTTGGGATGTCACGTCCCCTGGTTCATTAATGCGACGTGGAGGTGCAACTTGATTCCAGTTAACCGGTGGGTTTGAGTGTGGTGGAACTGGCGCTGTCCACATCTGGTCTGAAGAGTGTGGCGTTGGTTGGGTGAGTAGTTGCCTTAGCATGGATCCTGGGGGTGGCTGCAGCCCAAACCCTCCTTGGGTCGGCATTGCTGGCGGCCATGACCCTGACGTTGATGGCAGCGCACTGTTAGGTTCCATGGTAGACCATGAGTATGGAGGTGGCGGTGGACGCTCCTCTTGCACTGACTGTGTGGTGAATCCTGTGCTGGCCAGAGTAATCTGATAATTGCTGAGCAATGGTGGCCTGGGTTGAGGTTGTGGCCCTAGTGTATAATTCTGGCTTCTCCAGTACTCCCAGCTTTCCTGACTCTGCCCTAACTGGGGGGAATAATTCTGTTGGTTGCCTGCTCCGGCATTTCCTTGTCCTTCAGCCATGTTTGTATCTATTAAAAGAATAACAGACAGTTAGTCCTCTACTGGCACAACGTTATGTTTTGGGCAGGCTCGGTATTAGTAGTGGGTTTCTTTCCTGTGTGTAGAGACGTAGACACAAGTGTCGTCTATGCATTGACTCACATTTTTCTGACAATTGCCTAAAATGATCACTGCCCTGTCTTGTCAATGCTGGGTAGGTTGTAAACAGAGTTGTGGTACCTGCCTGAATGCTAATTACTTCCTTCTCTGTTGTGGTAACTAGGGGCATGCAATAGGTCTTATTTACTAGCTCGTAGGTATATGACAGCTTTAGCTTGCTACATCTTACACTAATCCTGTAGCTTCCTGATATACTCTTGTTGTCCATCTTTCACAACAAACAGCAGTTAAACAAAATCTGTAGGGTGGAGGCAACAAGGGGTAATCTTTAGACTGAACTGACGTGTAATAGTGTTGTAATTTTGTTTTGGAGTTTGCTAGTGTTACCGGTCCATATGGTAACATGTCTAAAAGGGGTTGTAGTTTTCATTATATTGTTGGGCTTTCCCTCTATTTCTCCTACCTGGTCTATTTCTACTTCGTTTTGGTTTTTGGTTGTCTGCCATTTTGATTCAATGTTATTCCTGAATTTGCCAAATGTCCTGATCCATGATGATGTACTCATTCTCACTCAAAGGTGGTTTAGGTGGTGCGGATGGAATTGCCGGGTTTTCGTATGCTGATGAAACTTCCCTCCCGACTTTTATGGGCCTCATCTCTATCCCTACATCCACATCATTATAGATGTGGAGCGGATATGTCCTACTAATGACATCATTCTGCCTATCATGATCCTGATCAAAGGGAATACACAGCACATGATCACCATAGCTATCAAAATCAATGAGCCAACTACCATTCCTATTGTTTGGAGAATTTTGATCCAGGACATGTTCTGAAACCACTCCCATATGGATGTCTGTTTCGTGTTCCAATTTGATGTTTAACCTGTTCATCCCTCATTTGTTTTAGTGACTCTAAAAGCTTAGTAAGATTCCCTTCTTGTCCTGTGTTCATGGATATTACTGTGCAGCACTCATCTCCGAAGTATTTACATACACCCTGTTCTTCTGCTAACATGTGTCTAGTACAAACCTGTTCTGTATCGCCATCAGTGATGTAGTATGTAGTTGCTCGCGGACAGTTTCTATGGCTGATATTGTCCAATTCACGTATCTTTGATGATTCCACCAAAGATAGATATCCAACGACTGTTTCGCGCTATGTATTGTGCATTTATGGCTTGGCCAAGTAGGGGAACTGACCCTGCTATTTGTCCTGATACAATCCAATCTTCTCCTATCGCTCGATGGTCTGACGGCACACCACGTGGTCCTGATTCCAAGCTATATACACCTTGTCTTCTTTTTCAAGCTTCAAGCTCCTAGCATACGTTTTGATTCTGCTATGTTTTCTTGACTGAGCACTGTTATCTGTCCTGTTACCATGACTGGAGCACATATCCCAGTCCAATGTGGTGGCAGCTTTACTTTCAAGCGATCGCTGTCATCACATAACCAGAAAACGTCTGCTAGCATACGTGCCTCCACCTAGGAACGGTATGGGGATGTCGGTATCACTCTGATTTCGCGAACTCTAAATGGAGCGTAATCTGTCACCACCTGTTGGCATTGAAACTTAGCTTTAGCAGTTGTATCGCATTTATCGTGTGCAAGTACTGATCTGCCATTCTCTACTTTTCGCTTGCGGTGACATTGTACTTTGGCGTCTGGTCCATTAACCATCATAGTCTTAGTGTCTACTATGCAAAATGGGAATACTGTGCTTTCATTTCTGACGGCCGTCTGTGGTACCCAATGTTCCAATAAAGGGTCCATGTAGGATGGACAATTAGTTCTATTCTGTGACCATCCGTCAAGTTTCTTTGCCATCATTCTTAGCATGCAATAAGCAAAACAATCATTGCGGTGTTGGCACGCATCAAAACTTATGGGCAATATTTGAGGGACTCTCCTGCCATTGTAACAGGCTATGCAGGACTGAGAGCTAACCTGCTGAGCAGAATATTGTAGCCATTGACGAAACATATTTTCTCCCTGTATCATGGGTTTTACTCTCGGTGTGGTTCTAGTCTGTTGTATACTGGACTTGGTCTTCTGTAATACCCTGGGTTGTCGTCTTAGGCCTCAACGTTGCTTTTGGCTGATCATCTGCCAGTCCCCTTCGTTGCTGGCGTGGCTGGGACTTAATCAGCTTTCGGGCTAGTTGCCTATCTACAGTTGTTCCTGTCACTCATCTGTACACCTGTTGGAACTACAGCTTGCCGTTATTGCCACCACTCCTTCAGCTTCGCATTGTTTGTCAGCTGGCTGGTTTTCTAATATGTGACCTCCTGGTCCTTGAGTCAGAATCTTTTTTAGCGTGGTTGTTCTTACATAAGTCAAATTTAGTTTGTCACTTTTTGGCCATTTACCTTCCTGCACCGCTACTGTTGCTACTGCTAGTGCACATTCAATCATCTGTCCCTGTCTCGGGGGACCGTTCTCTTTCTGAGGAATCATATCTGGAATCTGACATGCTAGTAGTACTAGGACTGCTGTCACTGCTATCCACATCACCAGCTGTCTGTCCTGGAGTTTCTGTCTGTCCCTCTTCTGGGTCTGTTTCTTCGGGTTCTGTTTCTGATCTCGCATAGGGACTGTCTCGCTCTGAACCTGATTCTCCTTCTGATCCTGTTTCATGTCCTGCTTCTGGGCCGCTTTCTGTCGGACTTGCGTATGTACCCGAACCTGTACATGACCTTGGGGTTGCTCTTGTACTGGAACCTGAATCTGACCCTGGTCCTGACTCTGTGATTGGGCTTGGTGTTGGTCTTGGGATTGTGTCTGCGTAGGGACTTGGTAGTAAGCTTGGCGGGTTTCTGCAGTTCCTTGTTCTGCTCTATCTCCTTCTGAACCTGAGTCACCTGATTCTTCTGATTCATGGATATCTCTATCTGATCCTGACTGTCCTGCTGAATCAAGGGTGTACTATCTGCATCTGTGACATCTTCTCTTGGAGGTAAGGATCCACTACTGGTTGCGCTGTCACTGGTTCGTCTAATGCTGGTCCGTCTGGCGGCCAGTCTGTCGGATCGTCTCTCCCCCTGCAGGGCGGGCTCACCGCTCCTTTGTCTGTCTCCCTCTGGGCTCTGGGATCGTCTAGCTCCCTGCGGGGCGGTGTCACCGTCCCCATCGGATCCCGTGTGCCTTCCTCCTCTGACTGCCTCAGTTGCTCCTTCTGGCTCATTTGCTCTGCAGCAGTGGTTTAGATGGAACCAAACGTTCTTACCTTCTACTTTTAAGGCTGATGGTGTGGCAAGGACAACTTTAAATGGGCCTTCTCGTCTGGGTTGGTTCCACTTTCTTTTGAACACCTTGACGTACACCCACTCACCAGGGCGTATTGTTTGTTGGCGCTCTGGTATGGCAGCGTCTCTTTCCTCAGTGGCTCCTTTGACCTGTTGGAAGATAGTTCTGTGGATTCTAGTTAAATGCTGGACATAACTTGAAAACTCATTTTCTAACTGTTCAAGAGATGGCCCTTCATATGGACCTCTCAAGTATGGGACAGGCATTGGCCTCCCAGTGCACATTTCATGCGGTGTTAGATGCGTTATTCTGTTAGTTTGCGATCTCATTGCCATTAGTGCTAGCGGAAGAGCATCTACCCATTTTAACTTACCTCTGCTGTCCTCTATTATCTTAGCTAGTTTTGCTTTCAAAGTTCCGTTAGCTCGTTCCACTGTCCCTTGTGATTGTGGATGATATACACACCCAAATCTTTGTTTAATGCCCAACATTTGGAGCATTGTCTTTATGACCTGTGCTACAAAGTGTGGTCCGTTGTCTGAACTGATCTTGTCTGGTAAGCCGAATCGTGGAAAAACTTCCCTGCATAAGAACTTTGCCACTGACTTATAGTCCGGGCTGGCGGTTGGTGTTGCTTCAATCCATCTACTGAATCTGTCAACCACTACTAGGATATACCTCATTCTGTTCACCCTCTCTGTCATGTCTACATAGTCTATTATAAGATGTCTAAACGGACCATCTGGCGCTGGTATGTGAGCCAGAGGGGCTGAGAATGACTTTCTTGTGTTGAAAAGAGCGCAACCCTGACATTCGTTCAATGTCCTATCTACGGTGGCTGCCAGATATGGTGACCACCATACTGCCTGTATGCGCCTAAGTACCTGTCCCCTGGAACAATGATCTGGTCCGTGAGCGTTCCTTATAGCAAAGCGTGTTAAACAAATAGGCAGCACAAAATGGCCATGTGGACCCCTCCATAATCCTTTCTGGGGACCATCCTCAGTTACTTGTCTGGCCCCTTTCTTTAGCCACATGGACTTCTCATACACGTCAGCTGCTTCTTGTGCTGCAATGAGAGATGACAAATTTGTAAGTGGTTCACAATCCTCAACTGCTACCATTGGACCCATAACTTCTCCTACTGCGGCTCGTTTAGCAGCTTCATCTGCCTGGTTGTTACCTCGAGCTATCAGAGTGTCTGTTTTTTGATGTGCTGGACACTTTATAATTGCTACTGCGGTTGGTTCATGGATTGCTTCTAATAATGCAGAGACGGCTTCTCCATGTATTACCGGAGTTCCATCTGCTCTGCAGAACCCTCTCTGTTTCCAAGTGTTGCCATGTACATGACACACTCCATATGCATAAGCTGAGTCTGTGTATACATTCAAACGCTTTCCCTTTGCCAGCTTACAGGCTGCTGTTAGAGCCTTGATTTCTGCTAACTGTGCTGAACATGGTTGAGGCACACTGGTGGTTTGAACGTCTGTGAAGGTATTGTCTTTGTTTAGCTGTACCACTGCATATCCTGCATGATTACCTGTGGCGTCTCTGAAACAAGAGCCATCAACAAAGAATGTCAAATCAGCTGGGATTGGTTGATTATGCAAATCCTCGCGTATTCTCATGAACGTGTCTGTTACCTGTATGCAGTCATGTGGTGTTCCATCTACTGGCAGCACCATACGTGTTGCTGGATTCACTATGTTGCACCGTTGGATAGTGAGTTCTGGTGCAGACAGGATGACTTCGTATCCTGTTTTCCTAGCTTGGGTTAGAACAAATCGAGGACTGGTGAGCAGAGCATGCAATTGATGACGTATACAAAATCACTGGATGTCCCATTGTCAAGGAAGAAGCTTTTTGGAATGCAAAAACTGCTGCTGCCAATCCCTGATAACACGGTGGCAGTCCCATCTCAATGTTATCCAGTTTTGTACTGTAATATGCCAGTGGTTGTTTACCTGTTGGTGTGTCTTGCATTAGCACGGCACTCGCAAACCCTGATCTCTCAGCTACATACAGGTGGAATGGTTTAGAATATCTGGATTGCCCAGTGCTGGAGCAGAACGCAAATCCTGTTTTAGTGCTTGGAAGGCTCCTTCGGCTTCCTCAGTCCAGTATAACTGGGCTGATTTGACTGCCTGACCTGCTGCTCTTATCATAGCTCGTAATGGAGCTGTTTTTATTGCGTAATCGCAAATCCACGAGCGACTATACCCTGCCATGCCTAGAAATGAGAGCATTTGTCCTACTGTTTGTGGTTTTGGTATCTTAGCTATAGCCTCTATTTGTGAGTTGGCTATCAGTCTCTTGTCTCCACTCAGTTTTCTACCTAAATACTCTACTTCCGTCTGACAGAATTGAAGTTTGTCCTTGCTAACTTTGTGCCCTCCTTTGGCCAATGCTGACAATATCGTCATGGTATCCTCCTCACATTGTTGTTCTGATGAACTACATATGAGAATGTCGTCCACGTATTGAATCACAGTGCTTTCTACCTCTAGATGTTGTAAATCTTGTGCCAGTACTCTGTTGAAGATTGACGGACTTGAAACGAAACCCTGTGGTAGGCGGCTATAAGTTATCTGGTGACCGTCAAATGTGAAAGCAAACAAGTACTGTGACTCTGGGTGTAGTGGACACTGAAAAATGCTGAGCACAAATCTATCACTGAGTACCATTGTGTGTTTGGTGGGATGTTAGAGAGCAAGGTATGTGGGTCCGGAACGACAGGTACTTCTGCATCTACAATGGCATTTATTTGTCTTAGGTCATGAACCAATCGGTAATCATTTGAATGTGGCTTTTAATTGGGAAGATGGCGTGTTACAGGGACTCTGTGTTTTGACCAGGACCCCTGCCTTCATCAGACCCTCAATTGTAGGTCTGATTCCTTCCAAAGCATGCTGTTTCAGTGGATATTGTCTTTGATATGGCAATGTGATGTCTTTTCTAAGTTTTATTTTACTGGCTGTGCTGACTTGACTAGTCCTACATCTGTTTTGTGTTTTGACCACAGTTCCTGAGTACTTGATCCAATAATGCTCTGTGCCTATCTGTTACCATCATTAATAGAGGCAGTTTCTTATCCTGCGGTCCCCTATCAACTATCACTTTTTCTGCTATTCCCTCATCACTGCTGTCAGTGTTATTCTCATGCATTGTCTATCTGAGGAAATGTGTACGTTTGCATCATGTGTTTGTGTCCAGTTTGGTGTCTGTAATGCTCCCCTAACCATAGGTCCTAAATCATGCGACTCATAACCTTCTGACACAAGCAAGGTCACATGCGGGACAGAGCCCGAAACGCGAACCAATCTTGCAGTTCTGGTGGGAGGATGACAGCTGCCGCTGCTCCTTGAGGTCCTATGTACACATTCTGGACTGTCAGATAGTGCAGAGTCTTGTTGATCACTTCATCCCATAAGGTTTCATAATCTTGGTGTTGCTGTCTTTCATCATAATGGAGGGTGCAATGCAGTGGCAGCTGGGGCTTTCTGCCAATTTCTCCTAGGTGTGCTTTTGTCGTCTGTGTTTCCCATAGTTGCTGCAGCCGGGAACGCAGCTGAAGTTTAATCCAATATACCTTGGGCCTGACTCTGTATTTTTCTTTATACTTCTTCTTGGTGTGGTTCTTCTGGTA